TTTAAGGATATAGCCCTTGGGTGAGCGACATTTTCTGCTTTAATCGATACCGGATGTGACCTCTACTTAATTCGTCGCGATGTTTTGTTGTTGTTAAATGACATCGAATTAAGCAACGACAAAAGAACTTAGTAGGCGTAGGAAATGCCAGACTAACGACGTTAGGTAGCTTCAAAATTATGGTGGTGGTCGACAGTATGGATCTTGAAGTCATTTTCCATGTGACATGCGATATTCAGCAGTGATTGGTGCCAGTGTGTTGAAATTGGTTGACTTGGTTGTATCAGAGGGTTCGGTAGAATTTAAGGAGAAAGTTGACAAGGCTGAGGCAAGTCAGACAGGAGAAAAAGGTTCGAATGCAGTCGTGGCCGGAAGTTGCTTAGTTTCGGACGAAGCTGAGGGGAGGTATACAGAGCTTGAGGCAGAGTTTAAAGAGTTATGGCAAGTTGCCGTGGTTGAAGAAGCTAGGGAACCAGATATTGACTTATGCCACCTCCAACCATTAGAAGCAAGTGCAGTCGAGGTGTTGATTAAAAATGATGCACCCGTAAGAAACCAGAAATCACCTGTTGAAATGAAGATCGTGTTGACTGACGATTATCCCGTTCACGAAGGCCCTAGNAAGTTGCCGTGGTTGAAGAAGCTAGGGAACCAGATATTGACTTATGCCACCTCCAACCATTAGAAGCAAGTGCAGTCGAGGTGTTGATTAAAAATGATGCACCCGTAAGAAACCANCCATTAGAAGCAAGTGCAGTCGAGGTGTTGATTAAAAATGATGCACCCGTTGAAATGAAATCACCTGTTGAAATGAAGATCGTGTTGACTGACGATTATCCCGTTCACGAAGGCCCTAGACGCATTTCGTACGTTGACAAGAAAGTGGTAGAAGAACAGATACCGGAGGGGCTACAAGAGGGTATTATTCAACCCAGTACATCGGAGTACGCTTCGCCCATTGTACTTGTTGCCAAAAAAATGGATCAAAAAGGCTTTGCTGTGACTATAGGCGTATCAACAGCAAGATTATGAGGGATAACTTTCCGATGCCGTTGTTAGACGACGTCATTGAGAGGCTACAGGAGGCTAAATTATTTACGACATTGGGTTTGGCAAGCGGGTTATTTTATGTACCTGTCGAAGCGAAATCCAGGAAGTATACGGCGTTCGTTACACATAACGGGCCGTACTAGATTCGATATGTGCCCTTTGGGATATCAAACTCACCTGCTGTATTTTCGAAGTACATTGCTACGGTTTTGAGGGATATGGTGATGGTATTGCTTACATGGATGTTCTCATTATTCCCGCTAAGGATGTAAGTGAGGCCAATAAAATGGAGTAAATGTCAATTTCTAAAACGGAAAGTGGACTTTTTGGGTTATATTATAGAAAATGGAACTATAAAAGCATCCGAAGCAAAAACTAGGGCGGTGGAGAATTCCCCTATTCCGCGAGATCGAAAGGCAGTACAGCGCTTCCTGGGGTTGACATCTTATTTTAGACGTTTCACTGAGGGTTATCCAACCATCGCAAAACCTCTTTCAGACCTTTTACGAAAAGACGCTCAGGTTTTACTTGAAGCAGACCAGTTAGCAGCTTTTCAGCAACTAAAAGAAGCACTAGTGAAAGCTCCGGTTCTACGTCCGTACAACCCAAAAGCGTTGACAGAGGTTCATATGAATTCATCTATGCACGGATACGGTGTTCTTCTTCAAAAGGACTCTGACGATCAGCTTTTCTACCGGGTACAGTACAGCTGAAGAAAAGTACCATTCATATGAGTTGGAGGTACTTACTATTGTAGCAGCTTTGAAAAAGTGGAGGGTGTATTTGTTAGGCATAAGCTTCAAGATAGTGACAGATTGTAACGCTTTCGCTATGATGATGAAGAAAAAGGACATTCCACTAAGAGTTTCCCGTTGGGCGTTATTTTTAGAAGATTTTAACTACCAGATAGAACACAGAAGCGGAAGTAAGATGAGGCATGTAGACGCCTCAAGTCGAGTTTGTTGTTTGATGTTAGAGGATTCGCTACAGCACAGACTGCGTCAGTCACAGTTAATGGATCCTTGGGTGAAGGCGGTTATTAAAGTTCTCGAAAAAGACAATTAGGAAGACTTTTTCGTGAAACACGGAGTGCTCTCTAAAGATCCCACTAAGGAACTTATAGGCGTACCTATTTCTATGGAAGATGAGATTATAAAAATTGCCCACGGCCAGGCCATTTCTCGCCGAAAAGCACGCAAGATGCAATGGAAAAGTCGTTTTATATACCACAGTTGTTAGCGAAAGCATCAAGAATAGTAGAGTTGAGTAGCTTGTATCATTACTGAGAGTATGTCAGGGAAAAATGAAGGATTACTAAGGCCGATAGACAAAGAAGATAGGCGTTTAGGGACGTACCACGTTGACCATGTAGGGCCGATGACAGAACGCGAACCACTGCAGCAGATGGGGTTGTAGATCAGTTAAAGCGACAGGCAGCAATATTCGGGAATCCAAGCCGCATTATAACGGATCGGGGCGCTGCATTTACGTCTCATTTATTTTCTGAAAATTGTGAGCATACAACACTTAATGATTGCTACTGGTGTTCCGAGGGGCAATGGCCAGGTGGAGCGCATCCACCAAATTTTGTACCACTGCTATCTAAGTTGTGTGTCGAAAATCCTACCCAGTGGTACAAGCATTTAGATAGAGTGCAACAAGCGATTAATAATACGCCACCTAGAAGCACGAAAGTTTCACCCTTTGGGTTGTTGACAGGGATTGAAATGAGGCTGAGTGAGGTATCAGATTTGAAAGAGGCAGCGATCGAGGAATTGGACAGGGAAAGAGAATCTCTGCACGAAGAAGTGCAAGATAATATTAACAAGATCCAACAAGAAAATCGACGTAATTTCAAATAGAAACGGAAACAAGAAACAAAGTACCGAGTAGACGAATTAGTTGCCATTAAGCGGACTCAATACAGTGCAGGACTTAAGCTGAAGCCGAAGTATTTTGNCAACCGATCTGGGCGGGGTTGTTGTAGCCGCTACAACAACAACAACATTAACAAGATCCAACAAGAAAATCGACGTAATTTCAAATAGAAACGGAAACAAGAAACAAAGTACCGAGTAAACGAATTAGTTGCCATTAAGCGGACTCAAGACAGTGCAGGACTTAAGCTGAAGCCGAAGTATTTTCGCCAATACAAGGAAAGGAAAGTTTTATCTCACGGTAGATACGAGGTGCAGAAGGTTGGTGAGCATGAGGGCCCTGGACACACATCAACCATTGCAGAACATATGAAACGGTGGGAACAAGCAGCGAAATCATACGGCAGGACATCATTCGAGCCGAATGATGAGTCAGGAGGGCCGAATGTGGAATTGGTGTGCCGGACCAGAAGTGGTCGGCAATACACCCCTGACAGAACAACGCGCAACCCCAATACAACCCTGACCGAACAACTAACAACCCCGCCCGAACAACGCGCAACCCTAACTAGACGAACTTTAAACGAAACACAAGCCAACTGAATTCAGTTCAGTTGAAGTTTTCCGTGTGTCGCCGAAGCAAAAGGTCGCCTAGTCGTTGCTGGCGGGTTGATATTAAAACTTCAATAAATTTGTATTTGTTAATGTTATTGTGGCTTATTAAGAGGGCATTTCCAGCAAGCCCTAAATGCAGTTTATGCCCATTGGAAAAACGAGATTATCCCTCGAACGGGGTAATTGGTCATATTAAGCACAAGCAAACGAAAGTGTGAAAGCAAAAAGTAATAAATAAACATTGCCAATTGCCTTATGTTAAAATAACTGGTACTTATCTGAGCTGTTAACTGCAGTTAAGCTTTTGGTGGAAGTAGGCTATTTTTAATCTTTTTTTTTTGAGCTTTGTACCACGATTGTTTATTAGTAAAATTGAAAAAGTAACAAAGTCTAAGGGATAGAAGTTATAGCAGCTATTTCGGAGATCACCACATCTCCTCATCAGATTTCTTTTTTCTAGACTTCAGCAGGGATCGAACCTGCGTAATCAATGTGTAAAGTCAGAAGCGTTAACCACTGAACTATGTACCCTCGTAAATGTTAATGTTATTGTGGCTTATTAACATTTTATTTTTAATATTTTTTTATTGAGCCTTGTACCACAAAATTGACTTGTTGCTTTTTCAATTTTCCTAATAAACAATCGTGGTACAAAGCCNCACAAAATTGACTTGTTGCTTTTTCAATTTTCCTAATAAACAATCGTGGTGCAAAGCTCAATAAAAAAATATTCAATAAATTTGATTTAAGTACAGATAAAAGCAATTCAAGTCCACTTAATANTTTTTTTTTGAGCTTTGTACCACGATTGTTTATTAGTAAAATTGAAAAAGTAACAAAGTCTAAGGGATAGAAGTTATAGCAGCTATTTCGGAGATCACCACATCTCCTCATCAGATTTCTTTTTTCTAGACTTCAGCAGGGATCGAACCTGCGTAATCAATGTGTAAAGTCAGAAGCGTTAACCACTGAACTATGTACCCTCGTAAATGTTAATGTTATTGTGGCTTATTAACATTTTATTTTTAATATTTTTTTATTGAGCCTTGTACCNGATTTCTTTTTTCTAGACTTCAGCAGGGATCGAACCTGCGTAATCAATGTGTAAAGTCAGAAGCGTTAACCACTGAACTATGTACCCTCGTAAATGTTAATGTTATTGTGGCTTATTAACATTTTATTTTTAATATTTTTTTATTGAGCCTTGTACCACAAAATTGACTTGTTGCTTTTTCAATTTTCCTAATAAACAATCGTGGTACAAAGCTCAATAAAAAAATATTCAATAAATTTGATTTAAGTACAGATAAAAGCAATTCAAGTCCACTTAATATATTTGATTCATATTTTAATTATACCAACTAAAATAATACGCTAAATATTAAACTAGTGTGTTTGATGTCCTGACGGAGGTGGGGCTCATACAATAAGCCGCAACATTTATAAAGCATTACTTACGTTCTGGGTAATTCGGTGTACAACGCTTAATTGTTCTTCTTTTGCTGCTTCACTTTATAATCAGCCAGTGCTGCCTTTATAGCGTCCTCAGCCAGCATAGAGCAATGTAGTTTTACTGGAGGCAAGCATAGCTCTTTAGCTATGTCGGTATTCTTTAGTTTTCCGGCCTCGTCTATAGTTTTGCCTTTGACCCATTCCGTAGCTAAAGAACTACTAGCAATGGCAGATCCGCAACCAAAGGTCTTAAATTTGGCGTCAACAATTTTACCGTTTTCATCTACTTTGATTTGCAGCTTCATGACGTCACCGCAGGCAGGCGCACCAACTAAGCCGGTACCCACGCTTTGGTCTTTCTTGTCCAGTGAACCTACATTCCTTGGATTCTCATAGTGCTCGACAACCTAAAAATAAATATTATTTTTTAACGATATTTCGATAAAGCAATTAACTCTCATATACACTTTGTGGGTTTTTGTAACATNTTTCATCATTTTCAGTTATAGTAGGGTTTTGATTTTGATTAACAACCGATTTATTTTCTGGTATATCGCGTATATGTTGTCTATTTCTACGATATAAAACACCTTCTGAATCTTTAACAATATAAGAACGAGGCTCTTTACATTTTTCTAAAACTATGCCAGGATACCATACTGATGTTGGATTTCTTTTAAACATTACTTTTTCTCCTTTATTAACAGGCTTTAAGTTTTTCGAGTTTCTATTGTAGTAGTAAGCAGTCTTTTTATTTTTGTCTTTAAGCAATTTTTTATCTACCACACAAGGTTTTAAATTTTTCAAAATTGTTGGTATCTTGGTCCTAAGCTTCCTTGACATCAATAACTCAGCTGGACTTGGACTATTTTCTTTGGGTGTATTACGGTAGTTAAGTATAGCTATATATGGATCGGTTTTGCTTTCTTGGCACTTGATTAATATTTTCTTTATAGTCTGTATAGTTCGTTCAGCTAAACCATTTGATCTGGCTAAATATGGGCTAGATGTGTGATGGTCTATGTTCCACTCACGACAAAATTCACTAAAATCTTTAGAATTAAATGGCGGACCATTATCTGATATGAAAATTTGAGGTATGCCATGTCTGGAAAAAATTGATTTAAGTTTGGTTTTTACTTCCGAGCTGGTAAACCCATTACTCAACAAATCAATTTCAACAAATTTTGAGTAATAATCAACTATTAATATATATTTCTTTTTATTGAACTCAAAAATATCGCAACCTACTTTATACCATGGTATTGTTACAATTTCGTGAGGTAATAACTCCTCTTTCGGGTTTGCGTTTTGATACTTCATACATGTTTCACAGTTCGAGATCATGTCATGAATGTCATTATACATATTCGGCCAATAAATCGATTGTCTAGCCAGGCTTTGAGTGCTTTGAATTCCCATATGCCCTTCGTGTAAGTTTTGTAAAATGCCCTTACGGAGGACGTTTGGAATAACAATTTGCTTATTTTTGAAAATAATATGATCAATAACACTGAGTTCATCTTTAATTTTGAAATATGGCTTTAGCTTTTCATGTACTAACTTTCTTTCATTTGGCCAACCATCATGTATGTATTTATATAAAATATGAAATGTATCGTCTAATTTTGAAAAATGTCTAATTTTTTCAAGGTCAGTGCCGGAAGCAGCAACTTCCTCTATTAGCATATCGCAATGAAGTGCTAAATCTTTATCAAGATCTACTAGGGCATTCTCGCATACTGGAGCTCTCGAAAGTGTATCAGCTATGAACAAATACTTACCGGGTTTGTACTCAACTTGCAAGTCATATAACTGCAGACGCAGCATAAATCGTTGCAATCTAGCTGGTATTTTGTGAAGAGCTTTGTTGAATATAGACACTAATGGCTTGTGATCAGTTTCGACTAGTACTCTTTGCCCGTAAATGTACTGGTGGAACCGAGTACATCCAAATAAAATTGCAAAGAGCTCTTTTTCAATCTGTGCATAATTCGACTGTGTCTCAGTTAGTGATGCCGAGGCGTATGCGATGGGATTTTTCCCATGTAGTATTGCGGCTCCAACTGCGCACTTAGAAGCATCGACTGATAGTGTTAATTGCTTATTACTATCAAAGTAAGCGAGAACTGGAGCTTTGGTTAATTCTTTTTTAAGGCTAATAAACTCTTTTTCTTGTGTTGGACCCCAATGCCAAGCCACATCTTTTTTTAGTAAATCTCTTAAGTTTTTATTTTTCGTAGACAAGTTCTCTATAAAAGACCCCAAATAGTTCACCATGCCGAGAAACCGTTGGAGTTCCCCTATTGAAGTTGGTGTTGGCATTTTAATTATTGACTTTACTTTGTCATCATCGACAGTAACACCGTTTTTATTGAAAATATGACCGATAAACTTTATTTCATCTTTAAAAATTTTCGACTTTTGTTCATTAAATTTCACACCTACTTCCCTGGCTCTCTCTAAAACTTTTGTCAAAATTTCATCATGCTCCTTAGCACTGGAGGCATATATTAAAAAGTCATCAATATAAATAATTAAATTATTAATACCTTCAAAAAGTTTTACCATTTGTGAGTGAAATAATTCCGGAGCTGCATTAATGCCAAACGGAAGTCTTAGAAACCGATACCGACCAAAAGGTGTGTTAAATGTACACAATTTTGATGATGGCTCATCTAGTGGTATCATCCAAAATCCACAATTAGCATCCAAAGAACTAAAGAACTTAGAACCTGCTAATTTTGCTTTACACTCTTCGATATTGGGAAATGGAAAGTGTGGTCTGAGTATAGCTTTATTTAAATCGCGCGGATCGAGACATACTCTAAGCTTACCATTCGGTTTTTTCACTAAAACGATTGAGTTGACCCATTCCGTAGGTTCATTTTCGCGTACAATTACTTTTAACTCGACCATTCGTTCCAGTTCCTCTTTCAATTGTTTATATAACAAGTATGGCATTTTTCTAGGAGGTATAACGACTGGCTTACAATCTGGCTTTAATTTTAAACTGCACTTTTCACTTAGGAGACCCAAGCCTTGAAAAACATCTGAATATGCCTGAATGTTATTACAAAAAACAGAATTAACACCTCTCAACAGATTCATATCTATTGCCGTTGCTAACCCGATTACATTTTTGCAATTCATTTTGACTATATGAAAAGTGCACTCAAATTTACTATTTTGAAAAATTATATTTGTTGTGATAATACCTAAAAGAGGTAATAGTTCACCACTAAAGGTTAACAGACGTGAATTTGATTGCTTAGCTATTTTATTTAATTTAAGTCTACATGCTGTTTGATACGATAAAATATTGGCTTGCGCACCTGTGTCCACAATACAATGCACCTCACTGTAATTGATTTCGATTTCTACTGTCCATTCTTTTACCTTATTATTTGACATTTGGTTTTCGTTTGCCGCTTTTACAATTCCGTTCGCCCTTTTCTCATGTTTTGCTTCTTTAGTTTTCACCATATTTCTTCCCGCTGTCTTTTCTAGTATGCCTACAAAAAGGTCTGTAACGTTGTCATTTTCACCGCTTGATTCGTATACATTGTTCACATAGTTTTTATTTTTGTTCTGCCGGCTCTGTTGATGTTGTTGTTTCGTGCGTGGTTGAAAGTCTTTACTTTGCTTATTTTGTTGTTGCGTTGTGTTGTGTTTTTTGTAGCACATTTTTGCAAAGTGGTCTTTTTTGTTACATATGTAGCAAGTCGCACCCTGTGCTGGGCATTTATTTCTATGCACTTGACCACATCTTTTACAAGTCACCATTTGAGTACGTCTTTTGTCTATATCTTTGTGAACTGCTGAGACATAACTATCAGAATTATCATTTGTAGTTTTTAGATGATTTTTTAATTGATTCGAATTTTCTTTAGCGGTCTCTAAATTTTTCGCTATGTCTATTGCTTTTTGCAATTTTATATTTCCTTCTGCAAGAAGCCTTTCTTTAATTTTCGAATATGACGTAGATAGTCCACAAACAAAAATATCTCTCACGAGATCTTCGCGTATTTCACCAAAATCGCATGACATACTTAAATTTTTTAACTGCGTTATGAACTCGTCAATGGATTCTTCGGCAGCTTGTTTTTTCGAAAAGAATTTGTGTCTTTCCATGGCTATGTTTGCCAAGGGTATAAAATATTCATCAAAATTTTTTAGTAACTCGTCATATTTGACCTTGTCTAAGTCTTTATTAAATGAGTTAAAGATTATTAGACACTCCGGACCGAGATGATGCAATAATAATGCGACTTTTCGTTGATCAGACTGTTCTTCGAGACCCGAAGCGCGCATAAAAATGGTAAATTGCCTTTTCCAATTTTTCCATGTGGAAGCTTGATTTGACGACTTCAAGTCCATAGGTGTAATGGTGGTCGCGATAGACATCACCTGACCCTGCGAACACGTGCCTGTGATACTTGTAGCCTTTTTTTCACCTTCCATTTTTTATTAAACAATTGTTTCGCACTTTTAATTAGACTTTACTTTTATATTTGCAAATTTACGGCTTCGACTTGACTTTTTTATTTTTTATTGGTTTGACTTTTAATTGACCGCTGCCGAATTCTCATCTGACACCATGTTGTGTCTGTGATCAACTCGTTTTATTAATGTCAATCGGTTACAGAGTTGCAAATCTTATGAGTAGTATTTTAAGTAGTATAAATAGTACAAGTAGTCTTAGTAGTATTTTAGGTAGTATAAATAATATAGATAGTATAAGTAGTATTAGTAGTAGATAAGTAATTCAGAGGGATAATACATTTATGTATGTATATTTCATAACACACTGTTGATCATTTGATTTAAATAGTTGTTAGTCCAACATTTATTACTATAGTTTGATCGGAATTAATCATATTATATTAAAACATAAGCTTATATCTGAGAAATTATTTCGTCTTAATATTCACTATTGACCTTTTGATTTAAATAAAGTTTGTCAAGCATTCAGTAGTGAAGTTTGATCGGAGTTTATATATTCTTCAGTAATTAATCATATTACATTAAAATATAAACGTATAATATGGTAGAAAGTTAGAAATTATTTATGGCCAGTTTTTCAGTGCACGGTCGTGGGTTAACGTTTAAACATCCGATCTGGCTGGTTTAACCTAAGATCAGGCAATCAAATGTCAGCCAGCTGTTCAATTTATAATCAGTTTACTTAATCTAAGTTTGAACTGGCACTGAAAAACTGGCCCTTAGTCTTAATATGCATAATATTTTATATCGTGTTCCAAAATTTGCTCCGAGTGCGTTCACTATTGATCATTTGATTTAATTGTTTGTCAAGCATTCAATACTATAATTTGATCGAAGTTTATATATTTTTCAGTAATTGATCCCATTTTATTAAAATATAAACCTATAACAGGGTAGAAAT